CGCGCCAGGCCGGCGGGGCCCTCTACCGCCCGCCCTGCTCCCGCCGCCTCTGCAAGGCCACGCAAGCGCCCGGGCCGGGCCGGGCCGGGCCTGCCTCCTCCCGCCCGCGCGCGGCTGCGGGTAAACCCTCGCTCGCCCGCGGCGCCGGGAAGTGTCCTGCCGGGGGGCAGAGCCCAGCCCAGCCCAGCCCAGCGGGATCCTGAGGGGCAGGCTCTGAAGCGAGGCAGGTTTCTCATCAAGAGCGGTACTGAAACTGGAACCGGTTACACAGACATGGGGAGAAGCTTTGGAGCTTGGAAAGGAAACGCTCGGTCTTTGGGTAGATGTGGTAGCTTTCCCAACTGTTTAGTTGGTCTAAGAAAAGAGATCATGTTTACCCAGAGAACCTTGCATGAGTGACCGGGGCCTCCTCAATCTGGGGGGCACCGGCAGAAGCCACCGACCCTGTCAGGCAGTGCACCAGCCCTACCCACAGCATCAGTGTCGGCTGTCGGGGGGGCCCCCAGCCCCGTCAGGGGGTACGCGTGCCCCAGTGCACCCCCTACCACTCACCTATGGAACCGTGTCTGCCTGGGTCCTTAGGCCAACACGGCTACAACCAACGCTCCTGACACAAATCGGGAGAAGCTTTCCCATTTAGAAAGGAAATATAAGGTTCTTTGGGTTTTATTAAAGCAACTATTTAGTTGGTCTAATAAAAGATATCGGATTTACCCGGAGAACCTTGTCTGCCTGTGTCCTTAAAGCAGGGGCGGGCAGTTATTTCGGGTGGAGGGCCGCTTACTGAGTTTTGGCAAGCCATCGAGGGCCGCATGACAGGCAGCCAGGGGCAGATAAATATTAATTTTCGAAATTTTTTAGGGGCCATGTGGGCCGGATAGAATGGCCTGGCAGGCTGCATTTTGCCCACCCCTGCCTTAGACCAACACAGCTACAACCAACACTCCCGACACAAATAGAGAGAAACTTTCCAGTTTGGAAAAGAAATGCAAGGTTCTTTGGGTAGATGTGATATCTTTTATTAGAACAACTTAAAAATAGCTATTTAGTTGGTCTAATAAAAGAGATCACATTTACCCAAGGAATCTTGTCTGCCTATGTCCTTAGACCAACATGGCTACACATCAAAACATCTGTTTAGTTGGTCTAACAAAAACCACATATACTCAAGGAACCTTGTCTGCCTATGTCCTTAGACCAACATGGCTACAACCAACACCCCCAACACAAATAGGGAGAAACTTTCCAGTTTGGAAAGGAAATGCAAGGTTCTTTGAGTAGATGTGATATCTTTTATTAGACCAACTAAATAGTTGGGAAAATTGTTTTTTGCAAACTTTTGGGCACAAACACCCTTCTTCATGCCTCTTACCATTTTGCGGGCCTGAAGAAGGGTGCATGTGCCAGAAAGCTTACAAAGAACTATTTTTACAACTATTCAGTTGGTCTAATAAAAGTTATCGGAATTACCCAAAGAATGTTGTCTGCCTATGTCCTTAGACCAACACGGCTACAACCAACATCCCCCGACACAAATGGGGAGAAACTTGCCAGTTTGGAAAGGAAATACACAGAAGTTACTGGCTGGCTGCTACATCTTTAGATGATCAGGGGAATCATTCACAAGCAACGGCCATAAACTTCTGAGATAGTTACAATAGAAGCAGGGTCACTATTTGGTCTTCCACTAGCAAATGAATAATTCAGCAACCAGGTTTCCAAGCCCTCAGTCTTTTCATCACTTTATTATTACAGAGGTGTGTATTTAAAAACTCATTTAGAACAGAACTTTGAAGTCCAGAACCAATCCTTGCTACATAACTCCCCAGTACTACAGCATATTCTACATGCCATTAAAATAGGATGGGTTGAAGAGATGGGCACATTTGTTCCTTAAAGCACTAGTTTTCAACCTGTGGTGTACAACCCCCCTGGGGATCTGTAGACTATGTCTAAGGGGCCCATGAAAGATGACTATGATCAACCAAAAGTATGCGAATGTCCACACTTACAATTCAAAGGGGTCTGCACCTTTATTTGAAATTTTGTAAGGATCCCAAATGAAAAAAGGTTGAAAACCACTACCTTAAAGTATATTAAAACTATTCTGTTAAAATTGACTCAGACTGGGGCAAAGCAGGAAGTGCTGTGTCAATGGGAGAGAGGGTAGTCCCTGGCCAAAGCAGGCTGGCTATAGATACTCTTCATCAGTGCTGCAAAGCCCCTCCAGGCAGTGATTCTCAACCAGGGGTGGGCCGTAGCACCCAGGAGGAGTCAGGCGATCCTCTGGAAGGTGCCAGGCAGGGTGACCACAGTTAGAAGTGCGACCCTGATTCACAAGATAAAACCTAGAGGTACCCGCTGGGAATCCATGGCAGGAAACATTTGCTGAATGGGGATAGCCTTTCTGAGTTCTTTGCCTCAGCGAAACTTCTCCATTATTTCTCTGCAGTTGGAAAATAAAGAACTGGCATTTTCCAAATGGGGCCTCCGGTCTAGCGCCTCACCTAAAAAGGTTGAGAACCGCTGCCCTGGTGTGCATTGGTGCTTGAACTGCCTCCGTTCATAGATTCTGGATATCAGAAGTTACAAGGTACCACTAGTTTCTCACCATGTGTTAGCATCTATATTAGTTCAGAGATGAATCTGCCCATGGGTCTCCTGACTTCCTAACCTTGCTGTAGCCTTTCTGTTGAATCATAGTGAGGATTAGATAGAAGCTGCAACAATGAAGGTTCAATTTGGATCACCAGATTTTTCCTGTCCCAAAATTCATCAGTGCTTTAGATTCAGGATTTCCTGGAACTGATTGAAACACAAAAGCAAAAGAAACATAAATAGAGGAAGGAGATCAGAGTTTCAAAAATATTTTAGGAGTAGGGGGGGTGTTAAAATAGATATATAAAGTACAGAAAGCTGTTTATTATGAATTGTTAGTGACTCATCAGCAAGGATCCTGGTTTTCCATGATAAAAAACTACAAATTCTTTGATAAACCCCCCAAATCCATAATTAAAATGAAAGGCCCCCCACAGCTCCCCCACCCACCAACCCTGGCCCTGCTGGTGGCACACACTTCCCCCCACAGCCTCCCCAGCCCTGCTGGTGCCCCTCTTTGCCCCCACAAAAGCCCTCCAACCCTGCTCATGCCCCTTGCCCCTCCCTACCCACGGCCCCTTGCCCTGACAGAGGGGGCCTCCAGCTGCCAGGGCTATGGGACCAGGGACCCAGGTCCACAGCTCCTTGCCTGCCCCCAACAGAAGGCAGCTGCAGCAGGACCTGGCTCCCCCACTGCTGCTGCTGACTCAGGCAGGGACAGGGCTGGCTCCCGCTGTAGCCCCGCAGGCAGGACCTGGCGCAGCTGGGAACAGCAGGGCTGCACCAGGATCTCCTTGCCCCCCCGCCGCGCCTCCTGTGCCTGCTGCTGCTCTGAGGGGGGAGCCCCGGCCTCTGACAGGTGCACCGTCCCCTGGTCACCATCTGGCTCCCCACCCACTCACTCCCAGTACCCGCCAGCCCTGCAGGACAGGTGGGGAGCAGCGCACAGCCCTGACACCCTGCTCGCTAGCAGGGAAGAAGCTGATGCTGAGCACAGGGAAAAGTGGCCCTTTGCCCGCCCCATGGCCGGCGGTCCCTGCTGCAGATACTTGCAGCCTGCGCGGGGCTGCCTGGGGCAGGCACAGGCAGCCCCACACAGGCTGCAAGTGGCTGCAGTGCAGGGGGCCGGCTGGGGGGCGAGTGTGGGACTGCTTTTCCCAGCACTCAGCACCAGCTTGAACCCAGCCCCACTGTCAGCCTGGGCTCCAAGCTGGCTCCATGCTCGCCCATCGGAGCTGCGCGTGCCGGCAGCAGCTGCAGCCCCCCCGCACTTGCTGCGCCGGGCAGTGTTGGCTGCTGCTGCCCACCCAGAGCTCGTGTGCTGTGCAGCCCACAGGTGGAGGTGGAAAACACTGCTCGGCGTGGCAAGCGGGGGGCCACAGCTGCTGTCGCCATGCGGAGCCCTGACGGGAGAGCCCGGTGTCGGCGTGGGGCCCAGGCTGGCAGTGGGGCCAGGTTACAAGGTGATGCTGAGTGCGGGGTTGGGGAAAACCAGCCTCTCCCTGCCCCATGGCTAGCGCCCCACACTGCAGCTGCTCGCAGCCCTCCTGGGGCTGCCTGGAGCTGCTCCAGACAGCCCCGGCATGGGCTGCGAGTGACTGCAGCAGGGAGCGCTGGACATGGGGCAGGGAAGAGCTGCTTTCCTCCGCACCAGTAAAGAGCAGGGAAGGAGCATGGGGAAAAGTTGAGCAGGGGGGAAAAGCAGCCCCTCCCTCGCCCCATGGCTAGCGCTCCCTGCTGCAGCCACTTGCAGCCCGTGTGGTGCTGTCTAGAGCAGACACAGGCAGCCCCAGGTAGGCTGCAAGCAGCTGCAGCGCAGGGTGCTGGCCATGGGGTGGGGAGGGGCCGCTTCCCACCCCCCGCTCAGCTTTTCCCTGGGTCACCTTTCCCGGGCTCCTTCTCTGCCCCGGGGCCTCCCCTGCCTCCCCCCTTACCTGAGCTTCCCACACTGGGCAGCCACATGGTCCCAGGCCATAAGCCCCCGATGGGGCTTCCAGCTGGGGGGGTGGGGCCAGGCGGCAGGAACCAATGGCAGAGAAATATTAATTTTCAAAATTTTTTAGGGGCCCCGCAGGCCAGATAGAATGGCCTCGGCCTGTGGGTCGTATTTTGCCCACCCCTGCCTTAAGTGAAGCCACACATGGAGGCTTCTACTCCATGTATTTCCCCAACACCTCCCTGCTCTCTCAGCCCCCAACCATCTTCCACCCCAGCCCTGCCCCGCAACCCCCCCCAGCCTCCTGAAAGCCCCATGTACCAGTTCT